TGCATTAGCCTTTTGATGTTACACAAGGGAAGTATTTATAGTGGTACATGTGAAATGGGAGCCCTTGGATAAGGTGGCACGTGGCCTCATCTCTTTGATTTAAACATCTTATCAGGCATGAGGTTTGACTTGCTAGCTTGCAGGGCATTTATTGCTTGTGCGGAGCCCTCATACTAGTGACAAGACTTGACCTTTATGCTTATGATAGACATTCCATCAATCATTCGAATAAGATCTTTATGCAAATGATCTCTTGGGAGAAGTGAACATGGAGGACGCTCGCTTGTGGTTCGGAGGCTCCTGCATCAGCTTCGGGGCTTTGGCCATTTCACACAATACTTTCCTTGTGGGCTTCAGCTATCTTCAACTAGCTTCAGTATCATGGCTTCGGTTCATGGGCCTCAACATGTAGACCTCGGGTACGTCCACAGGCCTTGGTAAAAAAGCGCCTCGGCTAGTGGACTTCGGCTTGAAGGGCTTCGGCCATTGCCCACCTCGGCTGGAGTGCCACGTGGTTCGGCCTGAGTGGGCAATTGGCCCAGGTGGATTGGCCAAGGATGACAACACGCAACACACTGTGTTAGGATTTAAGTGCTCTATACTATTAGACTTGAATTCTTCAATTTTGAAAGGTGAGTAAAAAGTTACTTATTGAAAGGTTATGTTTGATTTTATAGTTGTTAGATTAAATTCAATTTTATTGAAAGGGTTAAGTATAATAAACTAGGAAATTGAGTAAAATAAAAGAAAAATTAGTTTTAGTAATTAAAGAAACTTTAGAAATCACCTAAACGTAAAATAATTAAGTTTTGGTATCGCCTATTTAATTATTGAAACTACTTAAAATAGTTAATTGTTGATTTAAAAATTATATTATATTTCAGGCGGCGATACGGACATCGAGACAATTTACCGACCGAACTGATTTTAGCGTATATGGCTCTATGAGTAGAAAAATATAAATATTTTTAAAAGTATTTATAAATTAAGTACATTAGTAAAGTATGTGTAATTATGTGTTCGATTTTATGATTATTACATAAATATCTTTTATTATGATACATGTGAATCTCAAATATTATTTATGGCACATTTGTGACTTGGTATGTAAAATATGTGATAATAAGATTTGTTTGGTATGTGAGACATGTAATATTAAGATCGGCTAGAAAAGTACTTCTTCTAGTTCACAGATGGGCCTTGGCCGTGTTCTATCCTACACGGAGGGGTCTTGACCTGACATTGGTCTTGATCGTCTACATATAGTTCACAGAGGGACCTTGGCCGTATTCTAGAATTGATTACCAAAGGTCTTTGAGACTGACTTTTATTCACGGAGGGAGCCAAAGGCCCATAGCGAAAGTTCTTAACTCGAGGGGCGGATTATATATTTCAGTCAGAGGGTACATTTTTTGTGAATTTTTGAGCACGTTTGATGTGATGAGATTATAGCATAGTTATCAGCTAATGTTCATATCATGATTTTAAGATGATATTTTATGACCTTATATGAATATTTCACTTTTTGACTATAATTACATGATGGTAGCTTGTAAATTATCAAAGGATATGAATTTGATTTTCAATAAAAATGTATAAATGAAAAAGTATATTTGTTTTGAACTTCTCTACTCACTGAGCTATCAACTCATATATTTTTCCACGTTTTTCTTATCAGGCAGAAATTGAGAATCTAGGCACCTTTTGGAGTTGAGCCTTAATTTTGGAGTCATAGCCACACGACAGAGTTTGTTAGTATAACTCACTTTATAAAACATGTAGTCAGTATTTTTGGACACATGTTCATGTCTAGATGTGATTTTACACACTTATAGATAGTTATGAGACTCAATATGTATTTTGTATCTATATGTACATTTCATTTTATTTCTTGGTAAAGGTTGAGATTTCGACTTATCTTTATTGTGTTGTGTTATAGTTTGGGATTTATGTGAAATCGATAACAGGTTGGTTAGTCCTGTTTACTAGGAAGATAATGTCGAAATTCTGTTTGGAAATTGATGTATAAAAAGTGATATATTGTATTCGTAGTAGCTTTGATAGTGGATCTGACTTTTAGTTGGTATCTATCATCTACGCACGCCATATTCGAATCCAGTAGTGTTACACAGGGCGGGGTATGTCATATTTGAACCTCATACCAATGACAAAAATTGAAGTTAGATTTCCTCAAGACACTTGTCACACTAATTTTAAGAGAAAATTGTCAAATTCTGTTTGTTGGGATTTTTATCCCAATTTGTGATTGTAATCACCAAAAACGAACCACAGCAGTAAAAAGAAATGAAGCAGAAAATAAAGAACAACATAAATTGTTCATCCAGCTCGGCCAAGTCTAATCTGGAGGGCTCAAAGGTGAAAATCGAGCCCGACACTATGCAAGAACCACCCAAGAGAGAGCACAAGTTTGATTACATGATTCAAATCTCAGCCAAAACTATCTACAGATCAACGATCTAACAAAGACCTCATAAAATATCCCCTAACCGATGCTGACCTGGACACTAGTAGTATTTGTTTTACAGTTTAAAACCCGACCAAAGAGGCCAAAAACACTGCCAAAAAAAGTCAAAATGCCGGCAGTACAACAGACCAAAAACCACCTGATCATCGGCCACAAACACAGGCCAAACAACAGATAATAACGCCCAAAAAGGAACCACACTTGATCTGAAGATCTGGACAAAGGGACCAGAATCGCCAAAGAGAGAGAGAAGAAGAAAAAATACCAAGTGAAGAATGAACAGTCTTTCTCTCAAAAATCGGACTTAAACCATATTAACAAAGGGGATCTAAATCTTGGCCATCCAATTTTAGTCAACGGTCCATAATGGTGCAAAAAAACACGAATCCAAGTGAAGAGAAAATAGCCAATAAGAGCTTGCCATGTGGACGGCCAGTAAGAAATCATTTTATCACTTGAAGAATCGCATTTTGTGGTTTTGAAAACACTTTCACACTATTGAGTGTAAATGGCAATATGCCATGTCTGGAAACCATTTTTATAATATGCAAATAAAATGAATACATCAAAATTTAATGATAAAATACAAAAGGGAAAAACAAAAACTAACCAAATCCTATGATCAATAAAAATATAAAGGTTGTGCCAATTTATACCATCAGATGTAGTTTTCTTCCTCTTTATTGGGAAGGGATTCGAATCTAAATTCTCTAGTCGCCCTCTTGCTGCACAGCCCGTTGATATGCTCCCTTGTGCTTCTTTAAGCCTGTGTATTATGGTAGCTTTGCCAGCCTCTAATTTTGCCTTGAAATCTGTCGACTTCAAGTAGAATCATGCAGTATATGGTTCTGGCATTGGCTGATCCTTAACAATTCCGCAAAGAAGATCATCGTCCGGGATGTTATACTCATCCTGAAGAGAACGTGCAGGGGAGAGGACACTGATGTAGAGTTGTTGGCCTAAATACTGCCTCTCTGATATCATTGATCTTAGGATCCACATTCCCGCGTTGTCCAGTGTTGTCATAATCGCAGCCCATGATTTCGGATATACTTGGATTGTGTTTCTACTTATAGCATCAAGAAGATTGTAGTTCTTCCTCTTATCTGGTGTCCATTTGCCTGGTTCAATCCTGTTACGTGGAAAATTTGTCATTAGAAGACGATATGTAAAAACGTTATTTCTTAAAAGAAAAATGGTGTTGGAACCAGATGTACGTATATATACTTACGCGACAGCAAAAAAGGCATATCCAGCCAAGTGCCATGATTGAACGCTCTTTTCATGGTTCTCGAATATGATCTCAACAAAGTTACGGAAAGTGGCATTGATCACATTTGGTGCAATGGTAATCTGTTTAGTATCTGTGGGTGGTTCGTCTTTAAGTAGGTCATATTTGAAAACTTTGCCTGCAACCCCAAAGTACTCAGCCAGCTTTAATGGAGTTTCGGTGTTTACGTGTGAGATTCCATTAATAGCATAACGAAGCTTTCCATCAACCTTGCCAGCTGAATTGACTAGCTTGATTGTGCGCGTTATGTTGATTTGGCCGTAATGGTAGGAGCCCTGAGGATTAGGCCTAGCAGCACTGGCTGTTAGGTTCCACCTAAATGACTTGAACTGGTTAAGGGACCAGGACCAACCAACGGGTCCCTCGGGCAGTTCTGGTGAGGCGGGGCCCGTGCTACCCGAATAGCTAATGGTTGCGGTCGAGGTCAGCGCAGTTTTCGTAAACCGCGTTGAAGCTACAAGATAATAGGCATTTGGTTCTTGATTAGCTGTTACTAGGACTGAATAGCATTGCCCCAAATGAACATCAAGGGAATCATACACATTTTGGACAGTGTGGGATCCTTCAATTTCCACCAGTTTCATCGTATGACCTTGAATTCTAACATTGATGGAGTTCTTCATCCCCACATTACAGAATCTGTATCTATAAGTCTTTCCAGGGATCATCGTAAACATCGGCTCATTTTCCCCTTTAGTGCTACCCGCCTTGCCATTGATCAGAACGCCATCGGCCCGTGCCAGGGTTCGCCCACTGTCAAGTAACTTCTTTAAGGTAGAGTGACCTTTTGTGTACCAATCACCCACCAGAACGTCATACTCATCCTCCGGCCGGTCAAATGGCACTGGAATAAGATCCCGGCTATGGACACGGATGGGCCCGTAGGCCCCAGCAGCGTGGTGCAACGCAGTCGTGGCGTGGTAGAAGAAGCTTCCAATCTGATCCTTCACCTGGAAGTGGTATGTAAAATTTTTACCAGGTGGAATGGGACAAGTTGTGCCCAATGTCCCTTCTTGCCAAGAATTCTTCCTCTGTTGAATGCCGTTCCATGTTAGAAGAAACGGTTCGTTGAGGTTGTTGAACACATTGACAACAATGTTGTTGTTGGAAGTGCAGTTGATTCTTGGTCCTGGAAACTGGCCATTGATGAGAATAACTTGTTGGGGTACACCCAAGGGAGAAAGGGTGGCATATGTAACGTTCCATGTGAAGAACAAGTAAGGATCTTCACAATGGACCGTCACGAACGTCGATACACATAATATAAGTGAAAATAACACCAAATTTATCCTACCCATTTTTATTAGCTACTTAAATTTTTCTGAAAATGTACAAAAATAAATGTACGTAAAGAGGTGAGTTGCTTAGTAGGCATTGGGACATTCTTTTTATATGGAAGAGAAGTGGGAAGAAAGTGAGGGGCCGTTACAGTTTAGTGCATTGCCCGCAAGCAGCGTTCACTGTCTTATTGAGGTATTCCTTTAATTTCTCCCATCTTTTCTTTGGTTTTCTGCCAACCGTTACACCCCATGCTACCGAACCCCCACGCCGTAGTGCAAAATAAAAAAATAAAAAAATAAATAAAAAGGGCTCTATAATATCTCAATGTCGATTAAGAAGTTTGTAATTATTTAAACGTATTTTTCTGGATATCTTGGCTTTTTATTTACCAGTAAAATGTTTAAAAAACAATTTTAAACCTTATTGGATATTTACATGAAATCTCTCTTTATATCTCCTTATATATCGAAAGGGAGCAATGGGGTCTAACAGAATGGTTAACCCAAAACTGTCAAGGCCCGATCAAACAAGACTCTTGTCAACTCTAAAGTACTGATAAAGATTATCTAATCAGTTCAACAAATCGACTTATGTAATCCTACTTTTAGCCTCCCACGAATAACAATGGGTGGAGACTTATCTGATGTCCTCTTTGTTAAGACTTGGGGTTCATTTCAATAGGGTCAACCTTGTTAAGAGGAGTGTCCCAATTCTTTATATATTGGTCATTATTTCGGTATTTTACCGATGTGGGATTATATTCC